GATTTCGATTGTGTGCTCTGTGTGCTGGCCATGGATGTTCACCTTTCCCCCATCCGTTTACTCTTTCAAGGTAGTTCCGATCCCTGTTCATCTGAAATTTTACCATTGTTCTTGTATACAGTGAAAGTGTGGCAGTGACCATTGAAGTTCACTTCACTTTGTTTCGCTGTTTGATGATGATGATGATTCTGCAAGCATAATACCAAGCACTTGTGCCGGCCAGAACCGAATCACCTATAAACGTGCTTGCATCTATCAATTTTTTTATTTAAAAGCAGATAGAAATCGATTCTAATTAGGGTAGTCAAAACATTGTTTTGCTCAGCGTGTCCACGGTCATTTTTTGTATCTCTACACGTGCATACAGCATTCAAGATGATTTTTGCACTTGAAGAGTTTCGCCTATATGGGTTCGCACACTATTTCATCAACGTTATTACACAGAAACGGATTTCCAGTTGAATTCATTGTAAACTGTGAAGAAAATCCAACAGTGGGAAAACTAATATCTGTCCCCAGAGTGAAAGCTTCCTCATAGTTATCATACAAAGGTGATGCACTGTGACAATTAGTTAGCAATCTATTGAACTCTGTTTTGTGTCGTGTTGTCTGTTATAATTAGTAGTCAGATTTTAGTCATACATTTATCATTTCGCTGGCTGTATAGGCCACTGTATAGGCCGAAGTATGCACCAGTACAGTTGCAGGAGATGATCATAGATGAACTGCTCACATTTGTCACATTTTTGACGGGTAAGCATTGCCACTCGGCCATTTCTAAAGGTTTTCCATTACAATTCTTCTTGAGAGTGGTTGGGTGGTTGCTGGTGCATCACAGGATTTGATCCGTATGAGTCTTCATGCTGTATGCTGATGTTTATACTGATCCGAACAATTATCTTGTTACTAGGATGTCAAAGAATGCCAGTTGGTCATTGTTTTCCGTTTCCACGATAGGCGTGATATTCGTGAAAATTTTTTTAATGTTCTATTCGATTCTGTTCACTTCCGCAGGGACCAACCCCACTAGAACACTGAGCTTCTGAGGCAGCAAGAGGAGAAATACCTCTACCAAGTATTCCTCCACAACTGCTATACCCACGTCTTCTTCAAATGGACAACAACTTGAACATAACAACATTTAAGGACAAATAGACAACTGAATGAACTAATAACCCAGTCGTATGTGAAGACAATTTCTGAAATGATCACGAGAATACTGAAGCCAGACAACGTTCAAGTCGCTCATCAACCAACGACTATTCCACGGTATACGTTACCGGAAAACAAAGAAATAAAAGAAAAATACCAGAAAAATGTAATGTATTGCATAAACTGCAGGGACCGCAACAACTTTAACATCTGTCAAACAGAGATAAAACTGGCAACTTGTCTGCATGAACGGAAACTGGCCGTAAAATGATATGAAGCGCCCTCACTCGTCTCAATTTATGAGAATCAAGAAAGACACAGCTTGGATTTCGAAAACATCAAAGTCGTTGATCAGTCCTGTACCAAGCACGCAAGAAAATTTCTGGATTCTTTGCATTCTTCGGAAAACTCGGTCAACCGACCCATTAACAAATCTACACCCGCATGCAACAAAAGGACCAATCAGCGCAAAGAAGTCGGGTCTTATGACACGTCATAACAGGACAACAGTAACACTTAGACCGATCGATCAATGACCAGCCGTCAGACTGCTCGCGTTCACTTCAACCCCTATCGGCACAAGGCGAACAAGTATCAGCCAGTCACACAACGCCACCTCTCTACATCACTCAACGGCCTATGTACAGAAAGGGACACTCGTAAGCGTTTACCCAGTTACTGCATTGATGATGTCACTTCGACTGGTGGTGAAACATTTGTAATTCCAATGCCAATCTC